CTCCTTTTCCTCTCTCCCAACCCCCATGTCCCTTAGGGTCTTGCTCTGTTGCCGGGGCTAGAAGTGTAGTGGTGTCACCACAGCTCCATAGCTCACTGCAACTTCATACTCCTGAGCTCAAGCAATCCTCCTGCTTCAACTTCCTGAGTAGCTGGGACTACAGGCCATGCCATGATGCTAGGCTGATTATTTTTAGTAGGGATGGGGTCTTGCTCTTGCTCAGGCTGACCTAGAACTCCTGACCTCAAGCAATCCTCCTGCCTCAGCTTCCCGAAGGGCTAGGATTACAGGCCTGAGCCACCCTACCCAGCCAAATTTCCTTTTTAAATAAAAGAGTTTCCCACACACAAAAAAAATGAATTCTTTTCATTTGGGTAGATACCCAGTAGTGGGACTGCTGGGTTGAATGGTAGGTCTACTTTTAGTTTTTTGAGGAATCGCCATACTGTTTTCCATAGGAGTTGCACCAACAGTGTGTAAGTGTCCCTTTCTCTCTGCATCCATGCCAAGGAAATGCTCCTTTTGGGTGAGAATTCACGTACAGTATCTAAAAGATGCTGGGAATGCTCTGTGGGCCGGGGACCTACAGCCACTCTGTGCAAGGCATGATAATTCATCCTAAAGTTTGGCTCTAGCTCCTTTGTTGGGGCAAAACACCTGAGATTCTGCCAGCTGTTGAAATGAAAAGAGCATTTCTCTGGAGACAGTGACCAGCCCGAGGCAAGGGACACAGTGTGGCGAGAGGTTCCTGCTCAGGAAAGGGCGTGCTCTTCAGATTCTGACAAAGACTCTCTCAAACTTGAGTCAGGCTCTTGTGACTCTCGTAGGCTCTGACCCTGGCCTGCTTAGTCCAGTTTTAGCAAGAATCCTGCTGAGCAGTTTAGCAAAAGTCTCCTACCCTTGATATCTGATCAAATTCCTCAATCCCTACCCTGATACTTATCACCCCAGCCTGCCTTCTGCAAGAATCCTACTGAGTTGGTCTATCGAGAACCGCCCTAGCCCTGATGTCTCCTCTTAGTATTTGTCCACCCACTGGCCCCAACCCTGATCTGTGGCTATGAATCTCCACTGGTCCTTGTTGTATTCGGGGTTGAGTCTGCCCTCTCACCCCTATAGCAAAACCCCACTTTGGTAGTCCCTTCTTGAATAAAGTCTTCCTTACCATCTTTAACAAGTGTCATGCATAATTTTTCTTGCAGAATTTCCAAGATGGTGCACCACCAGCCGTCATGAGCCCAGGTCTACAGATCCTCACCCTGGGGCGTCCACAGCCATGACCTGTTTGGTAATCAGGGATGAGGGATCCTTTTGTACCAGGCTTCTAATAAGTCAGGTCTAGGCCCAGTGGTCTCCAAGGTCACCTTTTCTTGGCTCCTCCTCCCTGTCGGGGCCTGGGCTCGGTTCAGCAGCAGCCCAGAGGAAGGTGACTTTGCACCTAGTACTTCTTATTGTTGTTGTGTGCGTCCCCTCTTCTTGCCAAGCGAAGCAGCTGGCCAGCTGCCTGGTACTCTGTAGCTCACCACATACCTGTTGAATGAATGAGAGGACGAAGCCTCCTGCAGGGGGAGAGAAGTGGAAGAAAAGTGGAGCCTTTGGACCCCAGACTTGGCTTCCCTTGCAGAGGCCTCAGGGAGGAACACCACAGAAACAAAGATGGCCTTCTCCGGCCCTTCCCCCCTGCCTCCTTGTTCCCGTCTGCATCCCGCAGTGGCCGGGGGAGGAGGAGATGGGCGCCTTTGTTCTGCGTCCAGAGGCCTGGCAGCAGCGCCTGCTTTCCTCTGCCAGTTCTTCCCAATCCTGCCGGGCTCGCCCACGCCTTGCACCTTGGTGCCCCGGGCGTTTCTCTGAGGATGAGCCTCGGCTCACAGGTGGCCTGGGCCACGGAGACGGGCGCAGAGGGAAAGCTGTCTCCCCACCCGCTCGCTCCCAGTCCTCTTCGTCAACGTCCCCACCACACAGATCGGGCTCGACACCACAGGGGAACTCCGTCTGGAGTGGGAGCCCAGGCCGGCGCTGACCCAGCGTGGGCCGCAGACCCTGGCCCCCGACAGCAGTAAGTTCAGAAAATGAGGGTGAGCATGTCGAGATGTGAACTCGAGAGGGTGCTTTCAGGACTATCGAATCGAATTATCTAAAACGGGGTTTGAATAAATTACCAAGCCATAGAAAGACATGGAGGAAGCTTGAAGGCATAGTATTAAGTTAAAGAAGTGAGTCTGAAAAGGCTGCCAGGTATAACATGTGATTCCAACTATGTGACACTCTGGAAAAGCACAACTGCGGAGACAGTAAAAGGACCACTGGCTGCCAGGAGTTAACGGGGAGGGAGGGATGAACAAGCTGAGCATGGAGGATTTGTAGGATGGCGAATCTACTCTGTATAGTACTCCAACGGCGGACACGCGTCATTATACACTGTCCAAATGCACGGCATGTGCCACACCAAGAGTTCACCCCAGCTAGGAGTGCTGGTCTCGCCCCTGCTCTGCCCTTAGCACTGGGCCCAATTTCCTCATCTGCAAATCGAGGGGGTATTGTGACCTGATCTAGCCAATTTGTCCGGTGCTTTTGGTAAATATGAGGCAATGACAGGCCGTAGACTCCTTTGCCAAACCTCATTATCAGGACATTTCAACGAAAGCAAGGCGAGGGGCAATTCTGCCAGCCAGACACACTCATTGGCAGGGCGGCAGAAAACAGTCCGTGAGCTTGGGGAAGTCCTCCCTGTCCTCGGACTCTCGGACACACAGCTTGCTTAGAAGGTTAAGGCGGAGGTGACAACATTCTGAAGTAGCAGCCTGGATCCTGGTCCCACCTGTGACAATCTCATGCAGTGGGGACCAGATTCTTATGCCCCGTTGGTGCAGAGGCAACGATGACTGGATGATGCTTCTAGCCAGGCACGCCTCTTGACTGTCACTCACCTCAAACATCCCTCATGCTCACTACTCAGCCCTCTGGCGTAATTTTGATAACCACATTTGAAATGCTGATTCATCACTTCCGCACTGTGGATTCCTAAGGTGCTCCAAGGACAAAATAGCTGCCCTCTCTATGTATATTCAGATAACCTATGAACATGGATATCACATTACTAATGCTTAAGTATATTAAACTGTCTTATTAGTGTATTATACTTAAAAGTATATTACCATCCAAACTAGCAGAAAGATAAATCATGACCTCTGAGTTCCCTCCCATGATAAATATATATAAAATATTGTACTATACAATTATGTGCATGTGTGTGTGTGCATGTGTGTGTACATATATATATATATATATTGACTTTAATAGTCCTTAAAGTCAGGGAAGCAAGACAGAGGTCAGTTTTCTGGTTTCACCAAGAACTCCAGGTCCTGGAATTACATGAGACATTCCTGAGTTGCAGAGTCAATTCTGCGAAGCGGAGACAGGTCCCCCTTCCTCCCAGTAGCCATCTAAGGCTTTATGCCTCCTTTCCTCTTCTGGTTGTTGTTGACAACTGCCCTGTCCTCAGGATGGCCGAGGCCATCTCTGTGCCTGCTCTCCCAAGGCTAGAAGTCAGACACAGTCCACACTTGCGGTACCCACCTGTCTGGCCTGAGCCTTCCAGGCACACAGAGAGGCTGCGGCGGGAGTTGGAGGTGAGCAGTAGGGTTCAGAAGGGAAGGTGGGAAGGGATGTTCTCCCAGAGTGGGGAAAAAAGAAAAGCTGAGAAAGGCAAGAGGGGCCCGGCCAGGCCCGAGCGAGGTAAGGTAGTCAGCCCCTCCTCTTCCCAGCTGCTGGGCCACACGGGGAGGAACCAGGTTGGGGGCAAACAAGTAGCTATGAAGGGGGGAAGCAGCCAGACTGGGCTGCATGGCCAGTCCACAGAAGCTAGCGAGATGCGCAGGCTCAGCGAGCTGCAGTGAGGCGCTCAAAGATTTCCCCCAGGGCAGTGGCCAGCCCCAGGGGCCAGCGATGGTGCCAACAGCAAGGACTTCTGGAGAAGCCGGAAGACCACGCGCCTGGATGGGGGAGTCATGCCTGGGGACAAGTCTATGAGAACCAGAGAGTGCCATTCTGGAAGCCCTGTAGGTCTCCCCAAACACAGCTCCCCCTAGTTAAAAAGGCCAGGCCTCCCAGCCCCTTTCATGGCCTTCTGTCTCTACCCATTTCCAGATGTTTCCCCAGCCCTTTCCTCCCCAGCCCAGCGCCTTCAAACAAGTCTTTCCCCTCTTCTTTTCTCCGTCCCCTGGCCCCACTCTGGCATGGCTTGTTGGCTTGGAGCCGGGGGACCCTGGGGTCTGGGGCGCCAAGCTAGAAGTCTCAACGGCCACACTTTCTCACTGCAACATGAGAGGGCAGACTGCTCCTGTTTGGGAGGTTGAGGGATGGAGTGGTTTCTAGAGTTGGACTGCTTGAGTGTGAATGTCAGCTACACTCCTTAGCTTCTGAGGGACCCTGGGCAAGGTACTGAACCTCACCTTCCATATCTGTAAAATGGGGGCAATAACAGCTCCCACCTCCTCGGCTGCTGTGGGCAGGAAATGAGAGTGTGAGCAACGTCTCCACACGGCAGCGGGTGCACAGGCCGTGCCCAGCAAGAACCAGCGCTCCACTTGGCGTGCAGCCTCCTGCCCCCCACCTCTGCCCTGAGTTGTGGCCACAGTGGCCTCTGGTGCTTTAAGCCTCTCCGAGTCACATCCCAGCTCAAATGTCACTTCCTCACAGAAGCCCCTCAACCAAAAGCCCCCTTTTCTCTCGGTAACAATCCCCAATCTGGAATTACTCGATTGATTATTGTTCACGGCCCACTAGAATGCAGCTCCCTGAAGCCATTCAGCCAAGCGCTCGCCCGAATGAATGAAGGACACGGTGTTATCCATGGGGGTCAGGTGCTCTGGACATTAAACTCGTTTGGTGGCCTGCCCTGCCCAGCAAACCCGACCACCACGGCTCCAAGTTCCAGACCCTCCGCACGGTAAGGCCTGGCCGCCTAAGCATAAGCAAATATTGCACGCTGAGCCCAGACGTCCAAAGTAAACATTTTTATTCTCAGTTCTGCCTTAGGCGTCTCTAGTTTTGCAAGCATGAATAACTGGAATCAACAATTCTCTCCCTAAATGTCTTTCATTAAAATTTGTCACTTAAAAATTTCCTGATTTTCCTAAAGAGAGTTTGCTTCGAGGGAGATCTGGAAAGAGGCTTGAGGAGTGTGGACACATCGGGGTCAATCACCCCATTTCCTGCCAATCCGCTGAGCAGGGAAAAGGCTGTGGGCAGCTATAAATAGCAGCCCAGCAGTCTGTCCTTCCAGGAGGGAAAGAATCAGCATCAAACAGAGGCTAGGGGTGAGGTGGGCAAAGAACCATTCTCCGGGTTTCTGCCCACACCGGGCCGGTGACGGTCGGGAACGCTGCCAGGCCCGGCCACGGCCTCCACAACCTCAGACTCGGTGCATCAAAACCCAGTGGGCCCGGAAGACGCTACGCGTTCGCCCTCGAATGCTCTTGGTCAGCAAAGAGAGGAGTCAAGGAGTGGAAACAAATGCCCCCCAGAACTCCCCTCTTTCTGGGGAGTTCCCAGAGGAGCGCCCCAAGCTCCCAGCCAGGAAGCAGCACAGAGAGGAGGGGGGTCCTCCCCCAGGAGTGGCCTTCCGTCCGTCCGCCTTCCTTCCGGGTGTCACAGGACAGTCTCTCGCACGACCCCAATGAGGCTGTGTGGCCGCTCAGCCTCCGCTTGCCGCCGGGGCCTCCTCCGGGCCTGCGGCCTCCCGGCCGGGGCGAAGGTGCTGAGGTCGCCGCAGCTCCGCAGGTGCAGCAGGCCGGGCCGTCTCCGCGAGGGCGGCGCGAGGGCCCGGGAAGCGCCGGGCTGCAACGGGGCCATGATCTTTGGGAGAACAGGGGGGTGGGGAAAAGTTAAGTCGGCTTCACCACAGGCGGCCCTTTGACCTGCCTCTTACGTCTGTCTGTCCCCATGCCTCCCTCCGTGTGAACTTGCTTTTTTGGAAAAGTCAAAAGGGTCTTTTCCCAAAGCGGAACCCAGTTGGCATTCCGAAGGTGCTCTGGACATACATACTGCCTCCTCTCCAAAGTTCTACGTTCTACCGTTTCAATGGCAGACCGGTAGACTACACTTGCGTGACTCATCGGCTGAAATCTCTTGCTTTGTATTTAACAACATCCTTTTTCATCACTTCCCTCCAATTTCCCTGAGGGCTGTGCCAGTGATTCTCGTTGGAGTCTGAACATCACTAGATTCCCAGCTGCTACCACAGTAGTTGTGGCAGTTAGTCTGGAAAAGGGCTTGAGCATCTGTGTTTTTTAACAAAGACCCAAGCGAGACCAATGCATTTGAAAATTTGAGAACTACTGGTCTGGGACCGTGACCAGGTCATGTGTCTATAAAATGTCAACCAAAATGGATGACGTTGTCTAATGGATCTGATAACCTTTCAATGAACAACCTAACTAGGCCAATTTATTTGTCAAAACTCTTTAAGAATCATTCTATTGCCAGATCTATTTTGCAGTGTGTTGCATATGTAACTTTAAACATATAATATCACTTACTCTGTAAAAATAGCAAAAATATGGGAATTTTTTTTATCTACCTGGGATTGAAGAGGAGAGAACTGTCCAGTTAATACAATTTTAAAAAAACTGCACAGCCATGTCTACATGACCTATGATACTGTTAGCACCTTGGGAAAAACTCAGGTGCTTTATTACCACCTAGTGTCACAGAACAATCATTTGGATGACTTTTTTAGCTTCTAAGGTTATTAAAAGGTTATCCCCTAAAAGATGGGATATTAAATTTGTCAACAGTTTTACTAAATATATTTGTCTGTGAGGCCTGTCTTTGTCTCCTAAGAAGAAAATTCCAACATTCATAGATGTTGACTGTGTTACATGGTAAGTCAGGATGAGCTGTTTTGATATTGACGAAAATGAAAATGGATCTAAAAATTCATCCTAGTGATACTAACGAGAGGGAAAATTGTGCAAAGCTGAGTAGAGTCACCCTTCCGTTGTCCTTGCCTGCTTCTGTCTAGGGAGGGGTGTGGCATTATGAAACCTCACCTCCGGGGGCCTGTCCTAGAAGACCCCAGTAGATGGCCCACAATCTATCGCAGCAATCTAAGACTGTGAACTTTTAATCGGTCAGGGGTACAAGGATCTAGCAAACACTAGTAATGATAGCAGCTGTTCCACAGTAAGTACTTGTTCTTTTTCTCCAGAGCCATTTCCCAGGAATAAAGACTTTGCAGGAGGCCCAGACCAACTGCCAGGTGAATGCCCCAGCTCTTACACCTCATCAGAGCTCGGCAGCCCGTGAGAAGTGGCTCCTGTTTATTGGACTGCTAGGGCCGGACAGAGAGAAGGTGGCAGGGAATGAGCAGGTGAGGGACAGCAGGGTGTAGGATGGTTCCCCTACACAGGCCAGTAACAGGGGCCTGACCCAGAATCCCTGGTCGGCCACTCTTTCAGTGAGCAGATCACAAGAGGGTCTCTGGCCCAGGAACCCCTCTGTGCAAGTAATCGGATCACTCTCCTCCCTGGAAACCCCGAGAGACTGGGAGAGAATTTGGCCTCTGGCTTCTGTACGAGGAGGCCAGCAGGTGGAAAGGGGGAACAGAAAGGAAAGTGAGAAGGGTATTTTTTCAAGCTGACCTGAAAATTTACATAGCATCCTAGAGCTGGGGGTTACCCTGAGAATCAGCCCGATTCAACTTAAGAAGCAGTTGCTGGGCACTAAATGCACAAAGACACAGAACCATGTGACGTCACTGCACAACCCTGTGCTGTTGTGCAGTGACGTCTACAACATCCAGCCCCCACAGCAAAGACGTAAACACCTAAAAGGCAATGGCTTTTAAAAGAGGTGGAGAGAAGATTCTTAGCGGAAGGAAATTCCGTTCATTAGAGATAACCCTCCACACCTCCAAGTCCAACCCTGCACCTTAAAGACGAGAAACCTGAGCCTCAACCGGATTATGCTCATGACCAAGTTTATCTTCATTCTGGGTGGCTTCAGTTTGGGGGACTGCCTTGTACCTTTTAGTCTATGAAAAAAAAAGCATTTATTCTTTTAAGTCCTACTGACTTATTTATCTTGCCAAACATTTTGTGGGCATGGGAGCAGCTCCCAGAATCTCGTCAATATTACAACTCACCTATGTCATCATTTCAGAGGGCTGAGACAACACACCCTATCATGAGAGACCTTCAGTTTAGAAAATCAAATGTCGGGGCAGATGCGGTGGCTCATGCCTGTCATCCTAGCACTCTGGGAGGCCCAGGCGGGCGGATAGCTTGAGCTCAGGAGTTCGAGACCAGCCTGAGCAAGAGTGAGACCCCCATCTGTGCTAAATAAAATAGAAAGAAATTAGCTGGACAACTAAAAATATATAGAAAAAATTAGCTGGGCATGGTGGTGCGTGCCTGTAGTCCCAGCTACTTGGGAGGCTGAGGCAGAAGGATCCCTTGCCCCCAGGAGTTTGAGGTTTCTGTGAGCTAGGCTGACGCCACGGCACTCTAGCCTGAGCAATAGAGTGAGACTCTGCCTCAAAAAAGAAAAAAAGAAAATCAAATGTTGAATGTGCTCCACACTGCCCATACCCTTTGCTTTCATTCCCTGGCTGCTCTCTTTTCTTTTTTCCAGGCGTGCTTCCACATCCCGGAAAAACTGGGTTCTTTTCCCTTGAGCCAAAAACACTGTGGAAAAGTTCCACACCTGAAAGGAAAGCTCTCTGCTTCCTCTCTCCCCCTCCCCTGACCCTTAACCCCATTTCCCTTGAGACTGTGACCATGAACTTACTCTGCCTCGGACAGGAAATCAGAGAAGCCACTTAAGCTGCCATGGAAACGAGTTACTTGTTTCATGTCTGATATTGATAATGAAACTACCTGTTCCAGGAAACTGGCACTGGTGATGGCTTCCTCCATGTGCTCCTCATCAGACTTCAAAACAGATTTAATGTTTTCTACAAGTTCATGGATGTCTGGGGTCATGCTGCAGGAAGATTGCTCCAGGAACCTCGCCACCAGCAGCTTGGTGTCTATGTAAGATCTGTAATCTATTAGCGACCGTGGTCTGCATCGTGAAGCTCTGGATCTCAAGCCTCTCCTCAAAGTCACCGCAGCCAGATCCAGTCTCCTTTCGGTCTGGGTCGCGGCTTCACAGCTGAGCACCGGGGCGGCTGTGGGCAGAGACAAAAACATGTTCCCACTGGTCAAGCTCCTCTGACCACACGCCTGTACCTGAAACAGCACAGACCACAAAAGTCAGCATGGAAAATGTCTGACAAATGCCGGTAGCCATGCACATCTTGCTCCTCACCTTGCAGAAGGAAGGGGGGAGGAAAACTACGGCGCAAGCTAATTCCCTGAAGTGCAGTTCCAATAGGATATGGCCCCAAACATTTCATTGTGTCCCACAAAACACAACCCCCAAGGTCAAGACATATGACAGAGAACAGAATCCCAGAATGCAAACCAAATGGAGCAAGTTTCATGAGGCCTGGCAAATAATGCGTGGGCAGAGCAGAGCACACACGGCTGACCAATGAGAATGCTGGAATGTTCCATGGGGGACGGAGCCACACAGAGAGGAAGGGGCTGAAGAGAGACAAGACTTGAGGGACGCGCGTGGCGCTCTGTTCACTCTGACCATACCTTTGTCCTACACCTCCTCACGGGCACCGTACCGACTCACATTACCGGCGCTCGCACCGTGGCTAGGAAGGAGGTGGGTCTATGGCTGGCTATTACAGAAAGAGAAATGTAGGTGCAGAAAAGGCGGGCATCATTCTGGACGCCAACACGGCCTGGGAAATCCACCGCAGGCTCCAATTCCCACAGCTACCTATGTCAGCAAGGGTGTGACGACCAGCAGAAGGCCACCGCGCTGTGAAGTGGGGAAGTGAAACCCACATCTGGTCTCTGCGTGTCCGTAAGCCAGCCAGCCAGCCAGCAGCCCCCAGTGCACACAGCACGGGTGCCGTCAGTCTGCGGAGGCCTGCTGAGCAGGAATTTAGACATTCGAGGAAAACGGGAAGCAGGGGTGGGAGAAAAGGTGGAGGGAGGGGAGCACTCCTTTTCCTCTGCAGAAAGTCAGGCGTGGGAGCTTTAAACCATGGGGGCGAGAGGCTGTCCTCCCGGGCCGTCAGGTGCATGGCACAGAGAACAAGAGTCTTCCAGAAACACTCGCTGAAGACACTCGTGTGTGAGGACAGGGTCAGGGGTCGACACTCGTCCACGTGAAGGCAGCCTGGTACCTTCCTCAGTGGGGGGCGAAGGAGGGGGCTCCAACAGGTGAACGCGTGTCCTTGGCCCTGCAGGGCTGCAGAATGAGAAGGGCTTCCAGAAAGATCTCCCTAGGCTGTGTGGGACGGCTAAGTTCCCATCGAGGCTGGAGTCCTCCACTTGCCGGGTAGGGTGCAGCAGACCCTCAGGGGAGGCGGGTCTCGGGACTGGCTCAGAGGCCAGGCTGCCCGGCCGCCGCGGGGGTCGTGGCGGCGCGCTCAGGCCCAGGCAGGAGGACTTCCTCCCCGCTCGGCAGCCGGCAGCCGCTGCTGAGACTAGGTCAGTGTTCTCTCTGGCTCCCACACGGTCAGTCCAGAGCTGTGGCAGACAACACAGGCTGTGAGGGGGACAGAACAGAGACCGGAAAGGCTCAAGACGGGACCTGGGAGAGAGCAGGGCGGGAGGACTGTCAAAGCCGAATCTGCACAGAGTTTCAGAAGAGCAGAGGCCATTTCTTAGACTAGTTCACAAAAGGAAGCCCGTGCTGGTGGAATTACAGAAGGTTTTCATTTTCTTCCTCTATTTCCTTTACTTTTTACAATTTTCTACAACGAAGAGATATTTGGAGATGTTCAGGCAGTCTCAGACTCAGAAAAAGGTCTCCATGTTGTTATTTTAAAACTCGTAATAATCAAACATTTTTAATTATTCAAGTAACATCTATACACAAACAAACTCAACAAAGAGAGGGAGAGAGGTGAAGGGTATGAACCTGTGTGTTTGACTCTATCTAAAGTTTTAAACAAGGTAAGATTTCAATAATTCATCTACTCATACACAGTAAAAAAGACAACAAAATGTTAAATTACAGAAGATGGGGTAAAAAAAAATTACCCCCCTTTGACATTTTCCTTAAGGAGAATGTATATTCCCACCAGACTGTAGCATCTAGGAGTCAGAACTAGGTGTGCATAATTTTCCTCATGTAGCACCTAGCACGGTATGTCATGGGAACCAAGTGCTTTGGGTGACGACTTAAAAAAAAAAAAAACACTCTACCATCCTTAAAAGGTGTTGCAGATGTATATTCCCAGCGTGCGTGTGGAATATTTTACTTTCCCAAGACCTCTTAACCTCCATCAAGTTACCGCTTGAACTGCAGGGCCTTGGGCTTGCCGGAGCCACCTGCTTTCGCCTGACACCTTTAGGCAAATAAGCACAGTGCTCTGCAAAGAGCTCGGGGAATAACATCACCTCTGTCCTCGGAATGATGGAGCACAGGGTCGCTCTTTGATCTTGTCCTCAGGGCCGGGAGGGCTCTCCGGCTTCTCACCGGCTGCGCCAGGCTTGAGCTGGGCGTTGAAATGGATGTGCTTTCTTCTCCAGGTGTGTTAGGAATGTCCCCACCTGATTAAAAAAAAAAAAGACAGAGAGAGAGAGAGAGGAGAAACATAAATTATTTCACCAGCTGCAGTCTTCAAAATGTAGGGCAGGAAACACCTGTGAGCCCAAACCTGCAGGGGCAAGGGTACTAAAGTTAATAACATTTATTTAGGCTGCAGGCCCAGTACGTTTTCATTTCCCAGCACTGTGGGAAAATCTGCCTCTCCAAACCAGCCCTCCATACCTAGAAAAAACTAACAACAACAACAAAAAATTTAAATGCTAGAGCAAAATAAGCCATGCCAAAATGTCAGTTTTTCCTAAAGGTGCTTCCAATCTTATCCACTGAATCATCTTGGTGCAATACTGAAAAACTCCCAGGCATTTCAGAGTTTCTGATCATTCAGGATGAGCTTGCTTCTGCTGAAGGTAATACCTGCCCAGGTGGGGTGGCCACTATGTAGACTGCAGGCCAAATGCTGGCAGAGGACTTATCTGCACAACCCAGACTGCATGCCGGGCTGAGAACTCCCGGACAGCTGAGTTAAAGAGCCACTAAATGGATCAGTAGAATCACTCTGGAACTGAATGACTTATGCTCAGGAAAATAAAATCATCATTTGTGAGCCCTAGTTGTGGTTTGGGAAACTGTTTTTAAAAGTGGAAAAGATATTTAGAAGAACAGAACGCTGTGTCATAATTCTACTGAAGATGGAACGTGAACAGAATGGAAAGCCATTCCAAATGGTACTGATGAAGAATCTCCTCCATCTAAAATTGCTGATGGATCCATTATTTATTACCATTTGCGATTATGCCCTGATGGACAATTCTCAGAGCCATTTAAAACCTTCCCAAAGAGAGAAAGCCATAACCATCCTCCCTTAAATTGCAAGGATAAATGTAAACTGACTCTAGCATTTCACGTGGGACTGACAATGAGAATCTACCAGATGCTCAGGCAGCATGAACCAGGCCCCAAGTTATAAATGACACAGCACAATCTTACACAAACCACCCTGCAGTAAATGAAACTCTTTTTTCCCTGAAAAAGAGTCCATCTAACTTTAACAGGAGAAAGAAAATCGTAGCTCGGAAAACACAGGAATGCCAAATTAAACTCTGTAATCTATTTCATGGGTTCCTGAGAACAGTCTGGTTATTCATAAAAGATGGTAAGGATATCTTTTTTTTTTTTCCTGTTCACATATTATCTACCACTGATAAGCCCCAATATTTGACAGTATTTTTGCACCTGGAAAAAAGGCTGTAGCTTCAATGTTTTGCTCCAAGAATATCTTACCTCCAACACAACACCAGACAGATCATTACTCCATCATGTTTTTTAATCAACCGAACCATGACACTGGGCAGCAATAACGTATCTATTACCTTGAACCACTTGTGTGCAAACTGGTTCCAATGGGCTGGTAGCAGCTTCTGACCCTTCTGGCATTTGGAACGGAGATCCCTGCATCACAGGAAGAAAGAGGGTTGGTTTTGCGGATGTTCGGCTGAGCCCTCCTCGGACCCCAGTGGACTCCCTAAAAAGACGGGCAGGACACAGTGTCCCCACTGCTCTCTGGGAGGCGTGCTGTGCTCCCTACTTGCAGTCTCCATACCTGCTCCTGGTGCATCTGGCTCACCACGGCTTCGTACGGAGGCGGGGGGTCCAGGGGACAGAACACTTCCACGCCTTTGATGCGCGCTCCGTAGATATGCGGCAGTGGGATGACATCAGGACCGACCATCCTAGGAAAAAGCACCTGGGCATCAGGGAGCATGTTCTACGGACTGGCCAGATGACCGTAGCGGCTCTGGCCTGTGCTAGACTGTGGGGAAAACCACTCATCCCCTGTACCACGGCCTCCCGGGCCAGGGGAGGAGAATAGCATAAGCTGCTCTCCGACAAAGTTCCTTAGGCAAGTGACAGCAGTGTAAAACACAACCCCATCGATCCTTTGAAACCCACCTGTCAAAAGGCAAATAAGAATCCATAGAGACAGAGAGCAGATGAGTGGTTGCCAGGGGCTGTGGGGAGGAGGGGACAGGGAGTGGCTGTTGAATGGATAGGGGATCTCCTTGGAAGTGATGAAAATGCTTTGGAACTAGATAAAGGTGATGGTCGCCCAGCTTTGTGGATGGGCTAAATACCACTGAACACTTTAAAATGGTTAATTCCATGTTACATGAATTTTGCCTCAATTTTAAAAAACAACTAAGGACTCAGAAAAACTCAATTATTTCTTACATGAGTACACGACAAAAAGTTCTTACCTGGGTTTCCCTAATGTCCGATTCATGACAGAAACTCACTACAGGCTGAGCATCCCTAATCTGAAAAATCCTAAATCCAAAATCCAGAACTTTTTGAATGCCAATATGATGCCAAAAGTAGAACATTCCACACCTGACCTTACCTGACAGGTGTTTCATGCACAAATTATTTAAAATAATACAGAAAATCACCCTTAGGCTATGTGTATAAGATGTACACACAGTATCAATCAAATTGTTATTTGGACTTGTGTCCCATCCCCAGGACAGTGCATGATGTCTATGCAACTATTCCAAAATCTGAAAAAATCTGAAATCTAAAAACACTTCTGTGGTCCCAAGCATTTCGGATAACGGATACTCAATCTGTATTTGTTGAAAGAATATTTGAAAGGAGGAATTAATTTAAAACAGAGAGTGAACAGTATCCTAGCTCAGAGACACAGCAGCATGCGGTGGGAGTGACCTCTCCTAAAGCCGGCCATGCAACACACACTGATTGAAAGCTTGCTCCACGCCATGCACTATGTGAGGTGCTAGGGACTTGACAGATTTTTTCTAAACAGGGCTATATGAAGGGTAATGCCAGGAGGGAAAGAAAAGGAAGGCTCACTTTCTGTTTTCTCCTAACCTTGATTTGGTAAACTCAGCCAAGTTGGCAAAAGGATTTGCATTGATGTGTAATACAAACACCACCACCATCACCAACAAAGCTATTAACAAAGTCAAGATTTCAGAGGGAGGCAAGGGCAATATATGTAACCTTAACAACATCTGTACCCCCATAATATGACGAAATAAAAAAAAAAGATTTCAGAGTACACAAGACAGGTTTAAAGGGTCTCACATTTCGCTGAAACAAACAATGTGGATGTAGAGAAGCTGAACTTCAGGAGACAAATCTACTCCGTGTCCCGCTAACGTAATTAAAATGGTGGCTGCTGTTCTCGACTTGATTCTCCTCTGAATTTCTTTCCTTTCCCCAACCCTGCTGGCTTTCACTATGTCCACTCTGTTCTTTCTCATTCTCCTCTCATCTTACTTTTAACCTCCCCCTCCTTTAAGAGGAGATAGTTTAGGACTGAAAAATTCTTTTGTGATTAAATATTTACATTGGCTATATTTACCAATGAAAGTGTTATAGCCCCATATGGTTACTAAATTACAGGCTTTCTTTCCCAACTGCCTTCCTTCACCCAAATAAAGTTAGATGTGTTTTCCTCTCAAGGGCTTCTTAGATAACTGGTTGGTTGGTTGGTTGGTTTGATTTTGTTTTGCCCTGTGGGTCAGGGACCCTCAGTAGCAGAATAAAAAAAGGAAAACAAAATCCCCCACAAGATTTCTGGCCAATGTTCATAGAAAGTTCTACAAAAGAGAATCCAGATAATGAAGAAACTAAATTCTAAAATAATTACAAAATACATAAAAATCCAGAAAGCCTGTATTTGGGCTATAGAGTAGGAGAGAATGAAAAAAAATAAATAAATAACAGCAAAAGTTTACCTGCTCTTGAAATACAAAAGAGAATAAAAGCCCTAAAAGGAATGGACGAAAAGACACACTCTGGGGCCAGCTACATGCAGGGGAATGCTTTTGGGGGAGGGCTGTTGTGTGATCTTACAGTTGTTTCATTTTATTCCTTGTGCTCATTTATAAGATGGGATTGGCGGAAGAAAAAAGTAGAAAAAGACGTGATGTTCTTCCTTCCTATCAACAAAACTTCTAGAATTCTGGGATCTAGAAGAAGGAGATTTCTCTGCAGCTTAAAGAAAAGATGAGAAAGCTCTCCTGCTTTCCCCTTTATAGTTGTTCGTAAACTAGACTCATTCCCTGCTTGACCTGAAAGGGAAGCGAGAAAGAAGGTTGCGCACTGACACCGAAGTGGAGACGTTTTCAGGCTCAGCAGTGTGACATGCCAAGCGTCCAGTCTGAAGGGAGGCACCAGCATAAAAGGGTCCCTCTGTCGGGGGGCAGAGAGGAGGTCCTGGCAAAGTTATCATGCAAAAGGTATTCTCCCTTTAGAACAGGACAAGCCGAGGGGCTCCACTCCAGCCCTCCTATCTAAGCAAAGCACTGTAAGAATTGTAAATACTGGATGACTCTGAGAAGCCAGACCCTTCCTGGACCTAACTGAATGAAGACTCTTTCTGGCCGATGAACGGTACAATTTGTTTTAAGCAACGAGACCTATAGACTCCTTTTGTCCTCTCTGGAGGGCCAGTCTTCAATCTTTAATTAACATAAGGCCCATGAGTCATTTTTCTAGTGGTTACAAACCTTTGACTTTTCCTTCTCAACCACTGACACGTGCATGTCTTCACTGCAGTGTCCCCTGCCTGGACAGTTGATGTCCCCAGCTTTGTTTGCCTGTGTGTTTGTGAGCTCTGATGGTCTCTGCTTCACATTCCCAACGCAGTGGTGGGGCGCGTGTGCACAGAGGGGAGGGCTCGCTGAAGACCAAGATGTCAGGGGAACGGGCTCCACTTAAGATCCTAAAATACTGCAGAATTTCTCAAAGAAAAACAACTGGGGGAGGAGATGTCCACTGGGGCTTTGAAAAGTCCAAACTTTTCAGGCCGGGCGCTGTGGCTCAAGCCTGTAATCCTAGCTCTTGTCAAAAAAAAAAAAAAAAAAAAAAAAAAAAACGGGGGGGGGGGGAGAAAGAGCTTACTATATCTAACTTCACCACACAATAAACAGCTTCTATGGCGATTATTATAATGACCATAAAAGCCCCATTTTGATGGAAGATGCTGCTAGAGTTTGACAAAAAAAAGGAAAGTTTCTTTCCTATGAAGCAACTTCTTGTTTTTACCCCTTTTGGGTAAATAAGGGTCCATGAGGCAAACGGGTCTGCTATAGACTGGCAGGTTGGTTTTGGGTTTTATTTTTTCCCCCTGATCTCTTATGACTCACAGCCCTATCGACAGAGTAGAATTGCCTTGGGAAGTTCCAAAACTCTCACTGGCCCAGGCCTCACCTCTAGAAATTCTGCTCTAATTGCCTGTGGTGGGGCCCAGGAATCCGTCTGCTTTCAGTGTTCCTGGGGGATTCTCATGCACGGCCAGGGCTGAGCACCACTGCTACAGGAAATGGATCGTGGTGGCCGAAATGAAAACCCTGTTCTATTTGGGAAAGTTGGTCCAATTTTTATTAAGAAAGAGGGTCTTTAGAAAACTGCTGCCTGGTAAGATAGAGGCAAGCCTGAGAACTAAGTGTTTCTTAAAGAGTAGGACACATACCAAGAACACTTTAAACCGTGCAACTCACGATGGGAGAGCACGGTCCAAGCTTTTATTTTTAGAAAGCTTCTCACGTCCCTCATCTCATAACAATGCTCCCAGCAGCCATGTTGCGACCCAGGTGAATGAGGAAACCGAGGCTCAGAAACAGTAAGACACCCGGCCAGGGGCACCCTTCTTCTCTGCAGAGACTCCAGAGCCTGGGCTTTTTCAAGTCCATCCTCAAAGGCTCCAGAAAACCTTCCCTGGCGCATGCTGACGAGCACGGAAGCCGAGAGGAAATCCAAACAGATCATGCGAAACACGCTCTGCCTTCAGTGCTACCAACAGACCTTAAAAACGTATCCCAGGGTAATGCTGCAACAAATATGCCTTTGACCAGAGAACAGTCCTCCTCTGCCTGCTAGAGAGCTGCTCCTGTTACTGGGTTGCTGCCTGTGGAGTGGGGAGAGGGGCCCCTCCCTCCCCTCCACCCCAGGAACCCCCCCCCAATTTAGGTTTCGAGTTCTTTAGGACAGGGAAGTGTCCTCCGCTTTAAGAAATGCCCCCAACAGCCTCGCTCCCACTCCTTCAGTCTTCAGTTTTCTTTAACAGGCAACATCCCCAGAGTCAAAACCAGATCCACATTCATGAAGCAGGTGGGAGGCTGTCTCCCCTGGTTTCTGGCTCAAGCCACTTTCTAAGAATGCGCGACACCCCGGCGGAGTGGAGCCCCTTGGTATACGTACAAAGCAATTCACAAAGTAGCTAACCCATTTTTGGACAGGAGCCTTGACTGCAGTTGGGTTTCTGTTTATAACAGTAACTTGAGACGCTTTTTCTCAAGGAGATACCAATGCACCAAGTGGTTGTATTTATAGCAGTTAAATAAATAAACCTCTCCTGAGAGGTCGAAATACCTTACAGGAAATGGGGAGGCTCTATGGTGTGAAACCATATTAACATAACTGGTTGTGGAAATATTAAAAAAAAAAAATGGTAAATATTCTTGCCTGCCTGCTCACAAGAAAGAAAATGACCAATTGGTGTTAAGCAACTAGTGTATATAAAGTTGATTTTTGCCACGAATATATTAAAGTCATCCAGATTTTAAAATGTCTTTGATAGAATATGTATCTAAATGTGAATAACTTTAGCCCTTTTAAAAAGGAAAGTAGGCTGCACTCTGGTATTTGTAGACTTTCAGAAAACGAAGGTGTTTTTGCCCATTGGTGGTATGTTCTAGGGCTCCAGGCATATATTTTAGACTGGGCAGCATCTTCTTTCTCTCTTCTTTCATGGCTTTAACCCTCCCTCCTTCCACCTTCCTCCTGCAAAGTTCTGAAGTTACCAAGCCCTTGATGAGAAGCTTGTCTTCTTCCAACCTGGATTTGGCCGGAGGCTGTCTTGGAACTCAAGGGCACAAATCCAAGGAAGCACCCAGGTCCCCAGAGAGCACAAATACCCACGCTGATAAGCATTTTTATGGTGCAGCGAGGAAGGGAAAGGAAAGAAGGGAAAGGAAGGTCAGGGAGTCTACAGGACGTGCAGCTGGACAGCACGACTCCCAAACCCGCATGAGTCACTTTCCCTTTCTGCCACTGCAGGAAATTAAATCTGTCTGTCGCCTCCTCCTAGGTCAGCCAAGCGTCCATCCACAACCTCAGAGAGCCAAGGGATTCTTCTCATCAGAGAGGGCATTTCTCTTGCCAATCACGAAATAACACTTTCACCATCGTCCGACGTGCCTTCTACGGACGTCCTGAGACGGGGCTAAGGTCTTAGCAAGTGTGCCCTGTGGTCCACAGAGAGCACCTGCTTTCTTGCTCTGTCTCTTCAGCCTCTGTAGTTCTTGGCTCATTCCCTGAAAGTCTAGGGAAGCCACCCTGGCCTATGAAGCTTCGAAATTCCAGCGGGCCACTCCCTGAACAACAGAGAGGCTCAGCTGTCCCACAGGCCTGCCCGAGACGTCTGTCCACCCAGCTGACACGCCCACTGGCATAGCGGCCATCTCCGCCTCTGCCTCCCCAGGTGAGGAGGGTCTGGGGTGGGGCTCAGGTATGTCTCTGGGGGACACGTCAGGAAGGTAACCCAATGAAAAGAACACCTGGGTGGTAGCTTGCACTGGTGACCTATGTCAAAGTCACACAGGGCTGCCATGAACATCGGAAAATGGTTTTCTAAAACCCCCAAGCCTAGCACCAAATTTATTTGACAAATCTCTACACGTACTACAGGATAAAAAAAAAAAAAAATAGAAATTTCTGGCCCTCTGAATTATTAGGCTAAAGACACTAGTTTTTCTGTGGAATTCAAAGATTTTCTTTTGGAAAATTAAATATAGGCTTGCTTACCCTTTAAACTCAGCTTAAGGTCACTTCTTCTAGGAAACCATCCCTGGCTGGCTGACCCACCTCACTACTCTGGGTTAGGTGGACTTTGTGCATCCAAAGTCTCTCTTTTGAGTGCTATACTGTGATCCTTCCAACGCTCATTTTAATGACCTTCACTATGAGTTCCTTAATTGCAGAAGAGGAAGCAGATCTAAGTCATTTTGCATTTCGATAACCCAGCACAGCCACTAGCAAGCAGCAGAGGATTGATCATATGTTCGTTGAATGAATAAATGGAGTCATTCTTTTGAAAGGTTCAATTCTAGAAGCCGCTAACAATTAGATGAACACATGCAGCATTTCAGTCTTTAATACAAATAACAATTTTTGAGATTAAGGAAAGTCAAAATTTTGAGCCAGAATTTGAAAAGGAGAATAAGCATGGTATCTATTTTTTCCAGACCAGGGAGATACAATTAATAATTCATCTTTTTTTAATGGGTGGGAAGAATGTCATGATTGTAAGGGACCTGCTGATGGTGTTATAATGAAACATCGATTTGGCATAACTGGGAGTGTTTCCAGGGCAACCGTGACTCTCAATCATGTCAAATTACAGCCGTTATCTCCCTGGGTGTCAGTTTTCCCTAGAAAGCTAATTGAAATTGAAAACGTATATCTTTAGGTCAAAGTCTGACTTTTCTTTGGATTCATCTGGTTTATCAGACAAAAAGGGAGACCAAGAGAACAGAAAACCCTGAAAAACAACATAATCTGTCTACATTTCAAAGAAAAGTCAGAGCCATGCAATGATTTCTGGAGACCGCCCAGTCTCTAAAACCCAGAGCACCCCACCGAGACTGCGGGGGGAACGCAGGAACGATACCTGCGGTTCATCCGGGGCGTGCACGAGTAAAACGTGGCAAAGTAGGACGGGGGAGGCACGGGAGGCACGAAGTCATCCGGGTCTGGGATACGGCCATGTTCTTCTACTTCTTCAACAGAAATCTGGGATTCATCCTGATTAAACAGCACGCAGTTAGGCAACAGCCCTCTTTACAAGGACCCGGGGAGAAAAGCAATGCATCACACAAAGGGGTCTGCAGGCTGGCTCAGCCAAGGCGGTCACGACGCCACCCTGCTCAGACTTACGACACAGGATCTTCTGGTTGCGAATATCTGCAGGTAGCGCAGGGCGGCAGCCACCAAGCAGACGGTGGTGGTCAGGGCGTTCAAGGCACAGAGAGCGAAGAGGACTTTCTAGAACAAGGAAACAATGACGCCACTAGGTACCTCAACACAGACGACCAGAATGCAATGTAAAAAAAGTTAACAAATAATAATAATACTATCCGGATAAGACAATTCTCATGAGGAAATGGCGTATAAAGAATGTAGGTGGTGTTTGGCTCACGGAAAGTGCTGGAATAAATGCTGGCTGTTGTTATGACATTCATGCACTAACGTGTACTTCTTAATTCCAGACACTTATCTCAGAAGCTTCTTGTGTCCCAGAAAGACCTGCAATTACAGTATTCCTTTTTGCAAGCATCACAACACTATCTGGAAACGTTCCCTCCAGGAGAGCAACGCATTTCTCTTCTGAAGCTAGTGTCCGCAGGGACAGCAATTTCCAGCCTCCCACCAGGACACACGCTGCTTAATTTGTGGCCACTGATTCTATTTCAGGAGCAATTGGCTGTGCTGCCCTGAGCACCCAGCTAGGACGCTGCAGGGGCCAGGCCAGCGAGAGTGTAAATAGGACTTCTTTCCTCTAAACACACGTCTCAAAATAGCAGCAAAGACCATTCCAAAAGTTGCTGTTGCTACAGTCCTGGCTCCTTAGCGGGGCTTTCCCCAAGCTCAGGCCTGGCTCAGAAAGTTTGGGGGTGACTCAGCTACAAAAAATGCAGAAGCCAAAGACCATTTCTGCATCCCACAGAACCCAGGGCTGGCAGCTTTGAATAGTCTGCCCTCTTTGCTTAGAGATTCCTGGCCCCCACCAAAAATAACCCCAAGACAGGGTCTAAAGAAAGCCAGCAGTGGCGGAATCTCCACCAGCTGATTTTGTCACTCACTGGACTAATGTTCCTTGAGTCAGGGCACGATTTACATCCAATTCCCTGATAAAGGCTGATTATGTATTTCTCTTCAACTGGAATCATTTGTTTTTAAAATCTTGTCTGCTTGTTATAACTTTTGCTTATTAAACAAAAGATAAAGTGCTTAAATTTCCCCTATATTTTCTGATCGCTCTCTCTCCTTAGTCTACGTGTCGCAGACTGGTAGCACTCCCCAGCCCACAGGACTCACTGAAACCAACAAATCCGAGCATCAGAACAATGACAAATGAGCATGCAATTTAAAGGTTTTGCTAAAAGCTACATCCTATATGTGTGTGCATGTATATACATGTATGTGTGTGTGTGTGCACGCATATACATATACAGGCAGGCTTCTTTCCATTTTTTCCTATCTGACAGTTCCTGAACACAAAGAAAATCGCCCATACATAATTTAACACACACCATAATCTGTGGTTCTTTCTGCACTCAATTCTGACTCTGGGTCACAATGAGGGATCGCGCATACCTGTTTTCAGTAGCTTAATTGTTGGAGGGAGGTAACAGATAGGAATATTTCGAGTAACTTTGCCTGCTCTGGGGACTGAGGGGCGTGTTACTGGTGGGGGTGGGGATCCAGGCAAAGTACCTTAAGCAGCAGGTGCACAGCACTACACGGCTGAACTGGGAAGAGTTTCAAGGCATTTTCTTTGTCTGTACATTTGGCTGGCTGGAATTCTTCACAACAGAAACAGATCTTGCCTTCACCTAAATCCACCTTCAGGGGAAAAGGTAGAACAATAACTTAGTTATTAAAAATAAATAAATAAGCTTGCTCCCGTACAGAGCAACAGTCCTACAGAAAGAGACACGGCAGGGTTCCACGGCACGTAATGCCTCTATCAGTCAGCATAGGCTAGCATGTGCTGTGGCAACAACCGAAACCAAAATTTCAGTGACTTACCCAGCAAAGGTTATTTCCTAAATACGCTACACATCCTCCGGTCAGCAGGGGACTCTGCTCATCAGACTCCCTTAGGGACCCAGATATATTTTTTTAGTAGAAGTATGCACCAAACATTGCACAAAGCATGTTTACGCTAGAAAATTAGTAGCTGTTTATCTGAAATCCAAATTTAACCGGGAGTCCTGTAATTTTACCTGTTAAATCAGGCAACTCTAGCTAGAAGCTTCCTCTTGCAAATGACACTCGTCACCTTAGCTCACAATCTCATTGCCAAAAGCAAATCGCATGGCCCCATCTAACTCCAAGAAGGCAGGCAAGTCCAATCTACCACATATCTGCAAGAAGCACATGGTACATTCTGTGAGCAGTAGCCCTAGACCATGTAGGCGTAAAGGGACCTCTTAGTTCACATTTTCAGTAGAGTCACAGATTCTTGTTGTTTTACTTGAGGTGATAACATCGCTGATGAGTAACTTCGTATACTTTCAGTGAGATGCTTTGCAAACTTTTGGTCACTTTTCCAAATTTTCCTTGAGTTAAGTTGTGAATATAGATAACACCTGATTTTGGTTAATAAGATGCATAATTTTAGGGCACAGTTTCAGTCTTACTTGCTCTGCTGCTTGAGCTATTGAAGTTGGCCACTCTATTTTGCCTAAAGGGGAAAGGCTATACCTCTTCCATTAATTATTAAATTAATCAGGCAACTTTGACTTTATTAACTGCAAAATTCTTCAGGAATCTTTAGGAATGACTGAGCATCTGCAGTGTTTAAGTTACTAAATGAGAAAAAAAAATACTTTTTTTCCTTATTTAAGATTTTTAACCTCAGTTTTAATAATAAATTTCAGGGTGTTTTTCTAGCTCAGAGAGAGAAAACTTGGTCCTTATAATACAAGTTGCCTAGACAGCTAAGAAAAAAAATTCCACTACTGGATTATATAACTTTTTTTTTTTTTTTTGCTTTGGTTATAGTTCCTCTTTCTGTTGAGGTGAAATTTACATACGCACAAAAAAATTCACAAACACACACAAAAAATTTACATACACAAATCCTAAGTGTACCATTCGAGAAATTTTGAGTAAAGCATACACCAGTGTAAAACAAACCCTCGTCAACACACGGAATATTTCCTTCATGCTCCTTCTCCATCAGTCCCTGCCCCCACCCTCCCAGAGGCAACCACTGTGCTGAAGTTCTTCCCTCACAGATTAGCTCTGCCCTTTCTAGAACTCCACAGATTCTATAAGACTTCCCATTCTTTGTCCTGAAACCACATTGAAATGGATGCCTTATGATATCGCACTTTGCTATAAATTCTTTCTCTGGTATAAGGAATGACATCTAGAGTCACCTCCGTGGGCTCCGTAATGTCTCTCAATTCATCCCCACTTGGTTTCTCTCTCCTGGTCTTGCTGTGGGGACTGTCGGCTCAGCTGTGTTCCCATCCCTAAACCCATAACCCCACATACAGACAAGGCTGTTTCTGTGAGAACCTTTCTTCCCTCACCTCACGTCTTTGAAGATGCATCAGATCCGCCCTGCTGCTAACATCCACGCTAGCTCTCGCCTTCTAGAGGAAAACTACCTCGGCCATTCAGACGGGCTTTCTCCAGGGAGGGCCTAGGCGGGTGGGAGCTTTCTCTCTGCCCCCTTTTCCGTGATGAATAACAGCCCATACACCAGGCTAACGTCAGCAGGTGAATACCACTCCATTAATATGCCTCCTTTCTCCTTTCAAGTCTCAAGCTGAGAACTTCCTCTTGTAATACTAACAACAGACTGTGGGGGTGGGAGGGAGTACAGTAAAAAAATAAAAATACTCTGACTCGAGGGGGGAGGGGGGGCATGGGCAATATACGTAACCTTAACATTTGTACCCCCATAATGTGCTGAAATAAAAATAAATGAATAATAAATAAATACTAACAACACTATTTGCTAGTAAGAAATAAGCAGCTAGTGGAGATGACTCTGTTGGTGTACGTAAGCTTCATTCCTCCCAACAGGAACCAAAGTCTCTTTTTTCAACATCACACAGGGCAATTTTTATCTCTTGTACTTGGTGTAAGCCTCACAATCTTACCGGAGGACTCTACTTCCCCTCAGATAATGCTAGGTGTCACCTTACCAAGTACTCCCTTCCCACACAAGTGCATTATGGATACAAGGTGCTCGGGGAGAAACCAGCCTGCGTGGGCTGCGCACATCTGGCTGTGCTATGTCACTCACGTAACACCAGGTGTCCGAGCACACAGAAACTTCGGCTATCTGGAACCCTTGGGCTGAGCCAGTCTGGATAGCAAAATTTTCCAGATGGGTGAAAGTTAATCCCTTTAAACAAGACTATTTGAAAGTTTAATCATTATACAAATGATCATGAATATCAATTACTTTGCCCACTGGATACAAGGAAGCCCTGAGGCTCTGGGCAAAATGATTCCAGGTAAATGTGCATTGTGTGTTCCTTGTTCTCTTTGTTCCTGCGCCTTGCCAAATCTAACTTTCGCCTCTGTTCTTAATCCCATCTCTGCCCAATATTTCTAAAGTCTTATTCTAACTTCTCTTCAATCTCTTTAACAAATCCACAAACAAACCTGCAAAAGTCTCCCCAATTCTAAATGATAAACATCCACCCTTCCACCCAGACACTGTTACTCGAAGCTGTCAGGCCCTTGTCTTCCTTCCTCCATCTTCCAACAATGTGGTTCTCAACCCTGGTTGCATGGTAGAATTTTCTGGACAACTTTTTAAAAATAACAACACCATCTTTAGCCATCTGGAAACTGCAAATTAATGAAGAGCTCTCACTTTAGCCCCATCAGACTGGCAAAATTTAAAGAGGAAGAAACACTTTTTGCTGGTGGAGAGGTAAATAGCCACTAGCAAAAATGTATGTTTAAGCCCAATAATAAAGGAATTGACCACTCATTTTTAATTTAAAAAAAAAAACTTATTTTCCCAACTATTTTGGAAAACTGTTTAACACCACATGACACAGAAATTCCATATTTAGGTAGAGTTTTTTACTAAATAGAAATGAAAACAGGCCCCTCCAAAAACCTATACAAAAATATTCACAGCAGCTTAGTTCATAAAACCCCCAAACTGGAAACAATCCAAATGTCCATCAACAGGAGAATGGATAAAAAAAATTGTGGTATTTTTATATAATGAAATACTGTTCTGCAAAAAAAATAAAAAAGCAAAACAATTGATACAATACATAAACAGGGATGAATCTCAAAAACATTACAACTGTGCACAATAAGTCAGCCACAAAAAGGTACATATCATATGACACCACCTATATAAAGTTCCAGAACAAGCCAAACTAATCTATGCTGAAAGAAAAGGCACAGTGGTTGCCTATGACAGACTAGAGACCACCTGAAAAGGGACACCAAAGAATTTTCTAGGGTGATGGAACTGTTTTAGATCTTGCTTGGAGTATAACCTATAAGTACACATTTGTCAAAATTAGTGTATACATTGGTTAAAAGTCAGTGAGCTGCCAAAAACCAAGCCACAAGAGACAACAACAAAATAGAAAACTAACTTATTCCAAGAAAATACGGGTCTATCTAGTATACCTTTAAATGATACAACTTTAAGTGAGAAAAACAAAATGCAGGTAAGTACATACAATACATCCCATTCATAAAAAAAAAAAATCACAAATAACTTCTCCCCATACAAATTTATATAAGATTATATGATTAAAATACTATGAAATAAGATTTCATCAGCTTATTACTATGGATTTGGGGTGAGTGATGTGGGTGGAAAGGGAAAGAGGAGAGAAGTGCCTATCTTCTTCCCCCAAAGGACTTTGTCAATAGCTTCCCTAATGAAAAGGCATTATGGTATAATCCCGTTGATTACAATATGATCTCATTGTGTGTTATTATGCATAAACAGATACATAAAATATGGCTAAATGGTTAACTGTGCTATCCCAGAATAGTGAAAATTCAAATGACTTTTTTTTTTTTTCAGACAGGGTCTTGCTCTGCCACCCAGTCTAGAGTGCAGTGGTAACATCATAGCTCAAGGCAACCTCAAACTCCTGGGCTCAAGTGATCCTCCTGCCTCAGCCTCCTGAGTAGCTAGGACTACAGGTGCTACCATGCCAGGATAATTTAAAAAAAAAAATTTGTTGTAGATATGGGGTCTCGCTATGTTGCCCAGGGTGGCTTTGAACTCCTGGCCTCAAACAATGCTCCTACCTTGACCTCCCAAAGCACTGAGATTATAGGCATGAGCCACTGTGCTTGGCCAATTCATATGATTTTATACTTTTATGGCTTGTCCAAATTTTAAAAATTATATCATTAGAAATAATCACATATTTGGTTTGTTGGTGGGAAAATAATTTAATTAAAAATACACTTAATGAAAATCATGTACCTGATAAGGGATTAACATGCAGAATATATAAAGAACTCCTAAAATGCAACAAAAACAAAATAACCTGATTTAAAAATGGGCAAAGGACTTGCATAGACATTCCTCCCAAGAAGACATACAAATGACCAACAAGCATATGAAAAGATGTTCAACGTCACTAATCATTAGGTTAATAGAAATCAAAACCACAATGAGATATCATCTTATACTCATTAGGATGTACACCATCAAAAAAACAAGAAGATAACAATGTCAGTGAAGTGTGGAGAAATGGGAACCGTTGTGCACCGTTGGTAGGAAGATGCAATGGTGCAGCCACTATGGAAAGCAGTATCGAAGTGCCTCAAAAAAACCAAAAACAGAATTAACATATGATTAAACAATCCCACTTCTGGGTATATACACAAAAGAATTAAAACCAGTATCTCAAAAAGATAGGTGGTTCATTGCAGCATTATTCGTAACAGCCAAGAGGCGAAACCAACCTAAATATCCATCACTGGATAAGTGGATAAACAAAATGTGCCATTTACATACAATGGAGTATTATTCAGTCTTATAAAAAGGGAATTCTAACACGTTACAATATGGATGAAACTTGAGGATGTTATGTAATCCTAGCACTCTGGGAGGCCAAGGAGGGCAGAACACTCAAGGTCAGCAGTTCAAAACCAGCCTGAGCAAGAGCGAGACCCCATCTCTACTAAAATAGAAACAAATTAGCTGGTCAACTAAAAATATATAGAAAAAATTACCTGGGCATGGTGGCACATCCCTGTAGTCCCAGCTACACGGGATGCTAAAACAGTAGGATCGCTTGAACCCAGGAGTTTGAGGTTGCCATGAGCTAGGCTGATGCCACGGCACTCTAGCTCGGGCAACAGAGTGAGACTCTGACTCCAAAATAAATAAATAAAAATGTTTTTTAGGATGGGCACAGTGGCTCACGCCTGTAATCCTAGCACTCTGGGAGACTGAGGAAGGAGGATCACTTGAGCTCAGGAGTTCAAGACCAGCCTGAGCAAGAGCAGGACCCCACCTCTACTTAAAAAAAAAAAACAACACAAAAATTGCTTTTAAAATTGAGATGGTACAGGTCCCCAACCTCTTTCTCACAATTCTGAAATCCAAAAAGCTGTGAAAACCGGAAGTTTTGATTCCAACCTGCTGGAGTCCCAGACTCCACTAGTGTACTACATAATAAATAATATATGCACCATATTCATCTTCTAAAATTGGAAAAACTCTAAATTCTGACCCACACCTGGCCTCCAAGGATTTCAGATAAAGGATTGTTGACCTGTATTCAGATAATATCCATTTTTCCTTTTTAGATGAGAGCAGACAGAGATTGATTGTGGACACCTGACCCATTCGTTCACTAATGATGCATTATATTACTATGGTTCTGGGGTTACGCTGGCTGGTCCCTGATTTGGAAAAAATCACTGACAACCTGAGTGGAGTTATTAGCAGGCAGCTCTTTGTTTGTTTGGTTTTTTTTTCACTTCCTTTTACCAATTTCAGATTTTACTGCAGGATGGCTGCCTGGTGCCGACTATTGCAAGTCACGCCAGGAACACCAGAGAGGCCAGGATCTGCCGGATGCACAGTGACGTTTTAGGACCACTTACCAGATCACACCTGGGCACGCTGGACACGAACTGGGCCCCTTGGCAGCCTAGGATAAATCCAGCTAGATTTAGGAGGACACAAACCACAGAGAGCAGCACAAAGAGGTTTACCTGAAATGGCAAGAGAATAGGTAGTCAGAAAAAGATGACAGCTAAATCCATAGTTCTGCCTGAATTAAAAAAAAACTCTCATTCTCTTCCAAGAGGCAACTGTTTTTAAAAAAAGGTCACAAGTGTGTTTTTAACATACTAACTTTTCTCACATTTTAGAATTGTTAAAATTGTGCTCAGGAATGCTATTGACTCTCAAATCATCTCAATAAATGCAAGTCCCTATTTTTTTCTCTCTTTGCAAATAGTTCTTACTCCCTTGTCTTTTATCTCTACATTACACTAAGCCCTGGCTATTTCCTCCTTGAGCCATTCTAATTTTTTTTTTTTTTAGTTTTGTGGGATCAACACTAAGCAGACAAATGGAGAACTCTGGAATGTACGCGGAACCTAGGAAAATCAAAGAGCTCAGAGCCATTACAATCCAGAAATCACACTATACAAATGAACGTCAAGATGGGTCCTTTTTCAATTCAGAACAGTTTAGGTAGTAAAGAGTCAGTGTACAAAGATCATCCATGTATGTTTATCAAAAAGTAAATATTACTCCAAATAATTAAAAATTGACAGTAGCCAACCAAGAAGCCAGTATTTAGTAAAATTAGAGACTATACAAGCTTCTCAATTTGAGAGCTATGATTATTACAAATATAAAACCTTATCACAAATACAAAAGCAAATATAAAAGACTAGAGCCAGTGATTATCAGGGTTAGCACCAAGCATCAATTCAGGTAGCTGGTATGTCAGAGTTGGCTGATAAATGAGTTCACATATGAACTCTAATGGAGAGACCTTGTTCTTTAACTACTGTTGTTATTTCAAGTCAAGCTTAAAAGCATCTCCCCAGACCCATTTCATGAGTCCAGATTTAATATCACATGATGCCACTTTTCCTAAGGATAGTTCCTTTTTTTCTCCAAGAGAAGTCTGGCTTCTTTTATTATTAATTTGTACATGCCCTGTCATTGAATCTTTGGGAAAATGCTAGCAGCGTGTGCTGCTCTGACTGTTTTCCCGGCTGGATTCCTCAGTGTCTACAGGACTTGACTTGAACAGCATGTAGCATATGTCCCCTCTTGTACTATATCATTCTTGACTATGCCAAAGCTTCTTGGAGAAGGAGAATGCATAATTGGCAAAGGACAGAAGATGATCCTCGCATACGGGCTTCTTTTACACACTGGCAGTTTGGCAGGTGCTATTCAAAGAGATCTAATATAGCTGGATCTTTACACCCCACAACACAATCACTGTTACTATGCAGAAGTCTTGAACTTACCTTTGGAAAAAAATTTTTAATGCAATATGAGATTCCTTGAAAAGAAAGTGTGATTACAACCTTTATGTCCACCAGCACACCACTAAAAATTAATATCATCAAATATAAAATGGGTGAGTGTCCATTACTCCTAACACTGGACCCCAAATCACTTCATGAAAATCTTAAATCCAGCTCACTAAAGGACAGAGTTAAGAAATAAACAGGCAAACCACAGACTGGTAGAAAATATTTTCATGCATATATTGAACAAACAACCTGTACCCAGAATACACAAATAACTCCTCAACTCAATAATAAAAAGACAAGCAACCCAATTAAAAAACTGGGGCAAAAGACTTGAAGAGATATCACACACACACAAGATATAAGAATGGCCAATAGTATGCTTTGGCAGCGCATATACTAAAACTGGAACAATACAGAGAAGATTGGCATGGCCCCTGTGCAAAGATGAGCTGCAAGTTCAAAAAATTAAAAAAAAAAAAGAAAAGAAATGGCCAATAGGCACATGAAAAGGTGCTCATTTTACCACTTCACACCAACTAAAATGGCTAAAATTTAAAAGACTAATAAAACCAAGTGTCAGGGAAAAGGAGCACTTTGCTTGTGCAAGTGTTCAAACACTTTCGCAAACTGTCAGTTTCTTAAAAATCAAATATAAATCGTCCATGCAGAAGAACTCCAAATAATTCCCTACTCCTTAAGTGTGGGCTGCACAGGGTGATTTTCATCCAAAGAATACAGCAAAAAAGGGGAGAGGGAGTAACTCTCCAGTGGAGAAACGTGACAAACACTACATCAGCCAAGGTTAACATCAGTGATCAGAAGCCATGTCTATTGCATGTGCCCTGGATACAATGTGAAGAAAATAGCACTTTACCTCTGTGGTCTTCCTCCCCCAAACTCATAATGACCTCAGTCTAATTATGAGAAAAACATCAGACAATCCCAATTGAGGTAAACCTTATAAAATACCCGATGAGTACTCCTCAAGACTGTCGAGGTTGTGAAAAACAAGGAAAGTTTAAAAAACAGCCACAACCAAGAGGAGCCTAAGGAGACCGGACAACTAGATGTAATGTGGTATCCTGGATGGGATCCTGGGCAGAGAGAGGACATTAGGTGAAAATGAAGGATATGTGAAGAGTAATGGACTTTAATTGATAATAATGTTATCAATATTGATTCACTAATTGAGACAAATGTACCGTGCTAATGTAAGATGTCAATAACAGAGGAAACCCAGTGTGGAGATATGGGACTTCTATGTTCTATCTTTGCAATTTTTGTATAAATCTGAAACTATTCTAAAATAAAAATTTTATTTTAAAAACTGCAAAACAATTGAGTGTATACCTACCCTATGTCCTGCAATTCCATGTCTAGGAATGGACCCAGAGAAGTGCAATTGTCCGCAAAAAGACTCACAGAAGAACATTTATAGAGCTTTATTCATATTAGACCAAAAGGAAAAAGAACTCATTGTCCAACAGAAGAATGAATAAACCAGTTGCAGAGTATTCAAACAATGACATGCTTTCAGCAATAAAAAGGAAGAAAACTACTAATGCAAAACAATAATAGGAAGTTCAGAAAGATTACACTGAGTGACTAAAGGAACTTGGCATTCTCCTCCTCCACAAAGAACCAAAATGGTAAGAAGATGATCACACTTAGAACATCCAAGAGAAAACACTGAATTTAGCAGAGAAGTGACAGAGAGCTCCTGAGGCAGAGAAGCAGAGGGAGGCAAGGCAGCTGGCCCAGCCACAATTGGCTGGGAGTCCCCAGAGAGGCTCCCCACTGCAGGGAAAGGGTAAGTGAGAGATCGCTATCCGTCTACATTCCCACCGCAGACTGCTGCAGACCTACTGTGGAAAAACCTCTTAACCCTCACAGGCTCTGAGACCAGTACAGAGAGCTGTCTGGAGTCCATGTGACAGCATTGCTCCAGGAAGGGAGCTCATGCTGGGTCCCACGCACCCCCTGCAACCCAAGCAGCTGCAGCACAGTGCCATTTTGATAGCCCAAGTCCTACCAGACTGCACCCTGCCCTGGGGCCCAACAGCCCTTGCATCTCCACATCCCTAGAACCCCACTGACATCCTCCCATGTCTGCCCAGAGGGCTGCAGTGGCATGACACTGATTGGACCCAGCAGTGCAGCAGGGTCCCCAGCACTCTAGCACACATAATGTCATACACTCTGGGGGACAGGTGATGTAGTGCACTGGGGAGGCTGCCCCCACAACAAAGCATGTGCTCCCCAGAGCCTGAGAGCTGCCTGTCTGGGACTGTTGTCACCAAAAGCAACCCCATCCCCAAAGCAGGAGGGCTACCACTCACGTGCACATATCCTGAGGACAAACTCTCCCTGCCCACCACCACCACTGCTGTTGCCACCTAGGGACATGATCACCCTTCTCTGATGGTCACTCTGGGTGCATGTGCACATCATCAAGGGCCTAACCATTGGCTCAGATCACTTGTTGCTGACACCAAAGCGTACCATCCAGAGGCCTGTGGATTGCCCCTCCCCAACTGCCACCACTGGTATATGTGCACTCCTCTTGGGAGCACGAGGATGGGCTTAGCCCAGGCTGCTGCCACCATCAACACCAACATCTACTGGCATGTGCCACTTAGGGGGCCTGGGAACTGGCCTGCCCAGCCCATCACAGCCACCACTAACACAACCGTATGCTGCCTGGGACCTCAAGGGTTATCCTACCACCACTACCATTGCCTATGCCATGCACACTGCCCAGGGGTCTGAGGACTCACCCACCCACCCAGCCCACTGCTGCCACTTCTGGCATCCAAGCAAGCTGCCTAGATGCCTAATAATTGGTCCACCTGGACCCACCAACACTAGTGCCCATGTATATTGCCTGAGAGCCCAAGGACAGGCATGCTCAGACTGCTGCTGCCACCACTGGGGCTGGAGAACTGGCCCACCTGGCATCCCTGTCCCCAGCAAAGCCTTACCACACCTTCCATTAACTGAAGCCTATGCCACTGAGGAAGTCACAGATACCACTGATGCTGTTTATAGCCAAAGAAATCATGTGGACACTATACTACTGCATGCACCAAGAATCAAAGCTAAAGTACCCCAACCAACTAACACCATAGATATATCTACAGAAAAAAGCCTTCTCCTACAAACAACTGGAAGAAGCAACTGTTACACCAAATGCACAGATATAAACAGATAGAAAGATAAGGACACAAGAAACATGACACCTACAAAGGAGTACAATAATTCTCTAGCGACAGATTCCAATGAAAAAGAAATTAATGAAATACCTGAAAAGAATTAAAAATAATAATAGTAAATAAGCTAAGTGAGATACAAGAGGATACAGATAAACAATACAAAGAAATCAGAAAAATAATTCAAGATATGAATGAGAAATTCACCAAAGAGATAGATATCATAAAAAAAAGAACCAAACAGAAATCCTGGAACTGAATTTCATTCAATGAATGAAATAGAAAATACAATCAAGAGCTTCAACAATGACTAGATCAAGTAGAAGAAAGAATTTAAGAACATGAAGGCAAGTCATTCGAATTAAGCCTGGCAGACAAAAATAAAGAAAAAAGAATTAAAAAGAATGAAGAAAGGTTATGTGACATGTGGGACCTCATAAAGTAATCAAATATAGGAATTTGGGGTGTTCCAGAAGGTAAAGAGAAGGGCAAAGGCATGGA